GATGTATCATCTTAAAATCAAATGTGTGGTCAGATTAACTGAACACTACCCATGTCTCAGGTTAAGCGTAAGGGTTAAAAATCCGAAGGAAAATCCTACTTCTAGGCTCGGAGTGGATGACTAGGGATTAACTCCTTATTTCTTCAGTGTTTAGGAATTTGAAACCATGCCTGTACATCATCAGCAGGATTTTATCCGAAAGCATACAATAACAATTATGGATATTTCATTTTCATCCTCCTCCCTCCAATCTTTGCTAAAACAACAATTTGATAATGAAAGTTGACGAGAGAAACTACAAAACAACAATGTTTAAAAAAAATTGAATTTAACAAGAAAGAAACTACAAAAGTGATCCCATGATTTCCAATTCTAACGAGACTGTCTTCCTGTCACTGGATTTAGGAGATGCCCCTTGGAGTCTTCAAACTCATTCATGCAAGAAGTTGACGTGCACAACAAAGTTTCCTTCTGGATATGATATGTACTTCTTGTCAGCAGAACATCAAAAAATGATGCTTTGGGCAACTAAGACATGTGTACTTCTCAAAGTTGTGTACTTTAAACTTCAAAGGGATTACTAAGTCTGGAACTAGGCACATATCAGCAGCATCGAGCATAGGTGTATCATGCATTTTCATAGTTCGAACTTCCTTCTCAAGGGCACATAACCTTTCCTTCATAGAATCAGTTAACGACATCATCTGAGGCTGAGTAGGAATGTTCACTTGTGAAAGATCATCATCAAGATGAAGCTCATACAGTGGATTGGTCGACACAGTGAACCTTGATGAGGGATCAAGATTCTTCACCTCAGCACGTCGGAAGTTGTTTTCTGACATGGCTACCACAACTTCCAACTTGGTTTATCTGAGTAGCCTTTCAAGTCATGTATATTCCTCTTATATCTGATTGGACTTGCTTCAAATGCCTTGCAGCTACCACAAGTTCAGTATGAGTGTCAGGAAATCAACTGGAGTTGGCAATGAACAAAAGCTGAGATGAGTTTCTGCTGGGAGAATACAATGCAAATGAGATGCGAATGCAATGATATGCAGATGAATGCAATGCATTTTTAGGTTATTCCTAAATACATGATCCAAGGTATAGATGGAGGATAAAGGCTGATTGCTCGAACACAAGGTTCTCACCAGGTAGGATCTAGAGTTTAACTGAACCCCAAAGTCATAGATTCATATGACTATTCATCATACACGCCATGAGCATGACAGTTGATGACTCCATATTATGAATCTCTTATGGATGTGGTTTACGTATCGAACTACACGAGTCGTGCACCTCGGTGTCCCATACTATACGACCATCAACATCAGGTTCTAAACAAATGCCTCAGATTCATCGACTTCTTTGACTGTTCATTGTGTATGTCAGTGATTTCTAGGAAAACAACTCTATAAAGAAAGTCTCTTCTGATTGAAATCTTCGTATTGAACTACACGAGAGTAAACCTTGGTGTCCCATACTACGTGACCATTAGTCCTAGTTGTTGACCAAATGGTTCAAGGTTCTAAAAGGTCCTTAGAGTCATGGATCCCAATGAAATCGTTAGTCGTCCACGTCAAAAGGCTTGACGGTCGTGAACATACTCATTAGAATCTAACTCTAAGCAAGGTTCTCGTATCAAACTACACGAGGAGAAACACCCTGGTGCCCCATACTACTCAACCTTTCCTATCTTATGTGTTCACTCTAGACTCGGGTACAAATCCTCTCCCTCATGGTTTGCAATCAAAGTTTCACCCAGAGCCATAGAACCACAAATATATACATAATATGGAAATTAATTAAAAGAAATATAAGCAAGCAATAAAGATAAACAAATACTCAAAAATGCGAAGAAAACCTAGACTAGGCTTGACTTGCTTAGGGGTGAACCAGTCCCCAGCAGAGTCGTCATCTATCGTACCTCAAAAAATACAATCTTCGTGATGCACAAAACTAGGGTTTTCATGATCTCAAATGGACTTATAAGAGTCGCCACTGAACTTTATTTATTCCTAAAATGGGAAAGGGAAAATATCGATAAAACTAACAGAGAAAAAGGATAAGGTATGGTCATCGCAACCATGTTGGGTTCGGAAGTCGGTTATGTAAGGGGAAGGCATTAGCACCCCCTATATCCATCGTACTCGATGGGAACCGTCTAAGTTGTCTAGGCATGAAAGGTATTTGGTATATGTAAGCTTGCAAAGGGAAAGTGGATGATTATATACAAAAGTGCTTCCCAAGTATTGAGGCCCTTGTGCCTACGTATTCTCATTGATAGATGAGAAATCAGAGCGTCTGTAGTTCGGAAGGCTATAAGTTGTTGGTTTGTGTCTTTTAATGAACGAGTATTTAGATCACATTCTAACTGCTAAATATTAGTTTATCTGCTCACTAGGGGAGACTGAAGCATTAGTTTATATGCGCGATAAAAGGGACTAAACAATGTTTTTTTGCAAAAAGAGTGTTTGATCACACGGGGTGAATAATTAGGTTTGATGTGTTGAGTTTATTTTAATTGTGAAAAGAATTTTGTTTTTTACCTATTGAGTTAGTGATTTATGTACGGGTTTGATTATTTTCAAGTGGGAAATCTTGTTAAATTAAATAAAAAAGAACTAAGTTATATGCAAATTAATTATTTATACTAATTAGAGAAATTAAATATTTTTGGTATTTTGAATTTTTATTGTGTTTGGTGATTAATTAAATATCCTTAAAAAGCACACACAAAAAATTTTGTATTGTATTTTATATTAATAATCAAAAAATAATAATTAACCTAAGCTAAATAAATAAAATAAGAAAAAAATTAACAAAATTAAATTGATTGACTAAACTAGTTAATTACAATGAAGTCTAATTTATGTATTTTTAAACTTTTATTTTTTGTTTTGGTAATTTAATATTTGTTGTACTAATGCATCAAATAATAAATAAAAAAAATTAGAGAAAAGTTTACATGTGAAGCATTCTATACATAAAGAAAAAAAATTCACTTAAGATTAATAATTCAATGTGTAAAGTCTCAAAGAAATAACTATAAGAAAAACTAATGTATCTATGCCCACCTCTCTACCATGTTCACGTTATTAATAAATGAGAATAAGCAAGTAGGCTAACAATCAATAATAAAATAAAAAGTGGCAGTAGTCCCACTTGAGATAAAACAAAATAAATTTAGCTATTAAATATTAAGTAACAATTTGAGAACAAATGGATAGAAAATGGTCTGGAAAGGAAAACACAGAGAAAGAATAAAAAGGGATCAAAATATTTTTCAACCAATGTTCAACGAAGAGTTCGGTGGCGTTATGCTTGGGAGGGCAAGGTAAAGAAGTAATGATGGTGGTCGGATCTGCAAGTTATGTCGAAGTAGGTGGTACTCACGATGACAACGGTTAATGACAAACTCGTGGTGGTGAGTGGAGGTTGAATGGTGTTGATTTTTCAATGGAAAAATGATGAAAGAAGTGTTATTGTTTTTTTTCTTCAAATTTCTCACCTTTTTCTTCCCTCTCTTATGTGTGGATGTGTTTCATCTTTATATAGGCTACAAGTGATGAATTCAAATCCATGTGTGATGATGAACTTTCCTTTCTTGTAGTGACATGTTTATGGATGTTTTAGAGATGTTTTGAACATGTTTGAGCAACTTTCCGTTTTTGTTGTATCATGTTTGAGACATGTCTTAGAACTTAATCATTGCTCTTTAATTCTTGACCATACTATCTTTTGTGATTTGAAAACCATGTTTGTGTATTTTTGAAAAGGTATGAGTTTGTCTTGAACATCTTTAGGATTGTTTTAGAAAGAATCTTGAATTAATTGTGAGTTTGTAAATCTTGGCGTGTATTTTGAAACAAAATATGATTTTTTTTGGAATTTTGAAATGAATATTTGATATGGACTTGAATATGGACAAATGGTTTTATTTGGATAGTAGGAAAATGGTTAGGAAAAGAAATGAATTTTAAAATGTGGATAATGATTATGGATTTGTTTTTTTGGGAATGGATAATAGATACAGATGGATTTATAGATGACTTAAAATGATTTTTTTAAAAAATGGATGTTTAAAAAAATGGGCTTTAGAATTGAAATGAAATTTGAATGATGAATGAATCTTGAATTGGTCTTGAGATTTTATTTTTATTTTATTTTTTGGGTTTTTATTTTTATTTTTTTAATGAATAGAATAAAGATTTAAAAATAAAAATTAATTTTTAAAATACTCCTAAATAAAAAACGAAAGGAAAATAAATACAAAAAGTAATGCAATGGGACTTTAACCCGCAACCTTATAATTAAACCTCTTACACATACCTTCTTACCAACTGTGCTATCTCATTTATTCAAAATAAAAGCCACTCGAAAGCATATGAAGGGTGGAAAAAATTGGGGTATGACAGTTATCCAGAATCAAATTAAACTTATATCTGCACACTTCAGAAAAATTATTAGAGTACAAAATTGTTACAAATAAAATGTAGGGTTAAATATACAAACCCCCCATGTAACATTAGCGGGTTTTGTTTTTAACCCTATACAAGATTTATTTTTAATCCCCCCTTATGTTATCTAGATTCCGTCAGAAACCTCCCCAAACGCCACATGTCCTTACAGATTCTCCATTTTTTTTTTCAATTTATGTCTACACGGATTAATCTTATTGATATGTGGCATTTTAATTTTTCTTTTTTGTTGCTGACATAGATATAACATTTGAATTGAATTACCTTTTGTAAAAATAAGGGTTAGTTTTTAGAATGGTTTAGTTTTTACTGCTGCAAAGAAGAATACGAAGGCGGTGGTGCTCAGGCAAGGGAGGAAGGATACGATGTCTGTGGTTGTGGTTGGCTACAACATTGAAACTTATAATGTCTGAAGTAAGTGAACTCTAACCTTCTTCATCCTCCAATGTAATAATGATTTCGAACCTCCTTCTGTTAGTCTTAGTTTTTGATTTTGATCTGAAACTTTATTCACAAGATATGCAACATTTTAATGCTACTTTTCACCATGGGGGTGAATTTGTCATGGTAAACCAAAACGAGATCATTTATAAAGGGGGAGTTGATTCGAATATGTCTGGGTTACACATTGAGAACTGGACAATAGATAGTGTTCACAAGATGGTGAATAGGTGGGGGTATAAGAAAGGAAGTTATAGGTTATGGACAAAATTTTTAGAAATTGATGAGAGTTTTATTCAGATAAGAAAAGATGATGATGCATACGATTTTGGATCATATTGTTGTGCAATGGTTACTGATGGAGATATCTTTGTGGAATATGATGTTAAAAATATGGAACTTGGAGTAAGGGAACCTAAGTGTGTTAATAGGGTGACTGATATGGAAGGGATAGAAGATGAGGTGGTTGAAGGTTTAGATGATAGAGAAGATGATATAGCTACTGCTCTTGTAGATGGGTTTGAGGGAATTGATGTAACATTACCTATAAGGGAATATGGGGTAATTACTGGTCTTTTGGGTAGTCCCAATAAGAAATTTGATGAAGATGATTATTATAGTGATGAGTTAGACTCCTCATATCCAGATGATTCTTGTGATGATAAAATGCCCAAGTATGAGAGGTTTAGGAAATAACATCTCAATAAGGACTATAAATTTAAGTGGAGTATGGAATTTAATTTTCTTGTTGATTTTAGGGAGACAATTTATGAGTAGTCAGTGCTAAATGAATTATGTTTTATTTTTATGCTAATAATGCTTGTAATAGACCTTTGTTAAGTTTGTGTTTGTACTGATATATCAAACCTATACTGTCATTTTGTGCTTGTGTCAAAGCTATGTTATGTTTGTGTTTGTACTGATGTATCAGACCTATGCACTACATGTGCTTTTTATTAATGAAAGTGATGTTTCATTTTGTTAACTATGCTCTCAATGTTTCATTTTAAGCTTTCTTGTCAAGCCTATTCACTAAATGTGGCGAGATCAATGAATGATAAATATTTTGTATCAGTCCAACATCATGTAGCATCATATTTATAGAACTCTTATAATATAGAAACATTTTATACCACTGCAACAAAAACATTTTGTAACCTCATGTTTATACCACTGCAATAAAAACATTTTGTACCACTACAACAAAAACATTTTATACCACTGTGTAGCGGTAAAAATGTTGAGTATAAGCTATTGATTAACTTAACTCATAAAACAAGAGTAAGGGGGTTGGTTATGAAAAGAGAATGTGTTAGCACCCAAAACATCTATAGTACTCTATAGGAAACTCTTTGAAATATTTATGTTTTTTAGTTTAAAAATGATTTGCTTATAAAAGATTGGGGAGGTGAGAAAATAATTTTTTTTTATAATTTGTATTTGACAAGACTTTCTGAGCCTCATGCCTAGGTACCCACAAAGTACAATGGAGTGAAATTCTGGCAAGCACACGATGGATGTTATTACCAAATTTGTAACATCCACTGTGATATTGACTACTGTACTAACTAATTAAACTATAAGTAAAAGCAGTAAATAACACAACAATTGTTCACCCAGTTCAATGTCAACAACACTTACATCTGGGGGCTACCAAGCCAGGGAGGAAATTCACTATTAGTAGAATTAATTCAGAGCCAAACAACCCAGTTTGCACTCCTCACTTAAGACCTACCCAATGACACTTCAACCTAGAGACACTCTAGACCTGAGTATTCCCACTCACCCCCCCTCAATCACACCACAGTGATATACAATTCACAATTACAAAATAAAGACGAAGAAACACTTCATACCCACCTTGATCTTGCTTCAAAGCTTTGATCAAGAATCCCACACTCTTACTTAATAGCTTTGAGAGAGACACAACTTAGAACCTACCTAACCAATGCAGCAAACAGTTGCTTGGTAAACAAGTATTCCTAAGACATAATTCACACGTGAAGAACACACTTTCTTCACTCACAATACGCATGTGAAGAACAACCTTCTTCACTCACAAGGACTCTCTTTAAGCACTCTCTAATCTTCTATCAAGAGATGCTCTTCTAGGATTGCTCCTTCTGTTATTTATAGCAGCAGTCAGTCCTTGGGCCTGGGTGCAAAAATTAGGTTTATCCATAACAAACCTCTCTTCAATAATCTGCACACTTGCCAATTAATTCAGGGACATTTTAGATCGCTTAGGGTTTCTAAAATGTTTCCTGACTTCCAGCTTGAGCTTCTGATTTGTTTCCTGATTTCTAGATACCAGAAAAACTAACCCTGCTTGCTTGATGTCATACGATCCAAGTCATGACATTCTGTATGACATCCAGCTTAACTTATAGTTAACTTACCCTGCACACACATCATTATGTATGTCTTAACATTCAGTATGACATACATGCAAACTCTAATGTTGTGCCATAAAATGCAGCCAATCAAGAGCACTTACAAACTCCCCCTTTGGCAAATTTTTGGCTAAAACCCCATGTTAACATATCATAGTTTACACACAGCAGAAGACTTATCATGTGCCCTGTCATGCAGGAAAGTTACTAGCTCAACACACTCTCAGAGTCCTCACAGTTAGCTCTCACTGTTATAACTCACCTTGTTAACCATCTGTTAGTTACCACTACAGATGTCACACTTTGCTGAGTAACACACTAGGTTACTCCCCCTCAACTGATGCATTTTATGCATATCCTCTCAGCTGAGCACACAACCTGCAAATAGTCCTGCAATCACACATATTCATCCAGTCTGCTCTGAATGTTATGACATTCAGGATGACATCCTGAAGCATACCTGTTGTGGCACAACCTGTGCTACTCCCTCTAAAGAGATGCACAACATTCTGCAATCATCCTGCAGATACACACAGCACTAGCAGCTATAAAGCTACTAGGTTCCATCAAGGAACTCACATATATCTAACATACATTCCTATACTCATTAGGAACTCACACATCAGTAACAGCATCAGCTGTTATCATACAAACACATTAGCAAAATCTTCAATCATGCATATTTGCTGCAGCCCTTGTCACACACCTGCAACAACTCTAACCTGCTGGCTGTTATCTATCACTCTCTCTCTCTCTCTCCCCCTTTTATCCACAAATTAAGATCAAACTAATAGAATAGTCTGGATCATAATGAGTAACATTACACATGTTTGGGGTCATTAGAAGCAAAAAATGCTCATGGAGAGCATCACAAATTCTTGTTGTTACAAAAAAAACAAAAACAATGAAATACTCAAACCAGCAGTACATGTCATTAGCTCAGCAACCAGCAGACAAAGCCCCACATCAGTCTATCAGCCCATGTCATTCTTCCTGGGCAGAACAGGAACTAACCTTCTCAGATTCTCCATCACTAGTCTCCTCAGTATCAGGGGAGCCATCTTCATCACTGTCCTCTCCTTTACCAGAGTGTTCCTTTGAGCTGGCAACATCTTTCTCTGAATCAGCTGCCTGGCTGTCATTCTCTTCTGACCCATCATTTTGCCTATCCTAATCAGTGAACTCAACATCTTCATTTTTCTCAAGGGTTCTGATTAATGCTTCAAGAGTTTTCTTCCTAGCATCCAACTCCTGACAGGTTTCCTTTAGCATGGCAATCACTTCAGCTTTTCTTGATTTAGACTTGGATGTCTCAGCTGATGTTACAACAATGTCAGGAACATGAGTTCCTTGACATAGCTTGGGATGGAATGATAAGGGGCTTTCTCTTTTGCTTGCAGCATCAGTTTTCTTGAGAATGTTTGGATACTGTTCCAAAATGATGCCACAGATGAGTGAAGGGAATGCAATGGGGCCTTTGATGCTATAGCTGTCTGCATGCTTCATAGTTTGATCAAATATATATGTCCCAAAGTTAAATTTGGCCTTGGTCCCAATAACATAGATGATCTTTCCAAGAACAGTTACCACAATAGACTTATGGTTTGTGGGCACCCAATTTGCAGCACCAATCTTGTGCAACATAGCATACTTGACACTCAATTTGCTGGCAACTAGCTTTCCTTTTGATGGCCAGCTTTTTACCTGGTTGCCTGTTATCACTTGACACATTTTTTTTCAAAGACAGTTACATCAGGATGAGCTCTATCTGACCTACCCAGATACTTGTTGAAGAAAAAGTAACACACTTCCCTCTTACATACACCTTGCCAAACTCTTTAGATTTCCTGTCAGCACATTCCTCTGAAAGATTAACGATGAATTCTTTGACAAGTAACTCATAGCATTGTGAGAATTGACTAACTGTTTTCATCAATCCTGCATCATGAATGAGATTCATGATTTCTTTACTCTCAAGAACATTTTGTCCCAGCTCCCTTTCCAATGCTAGCCTCTTCTGAACAACATACTTCCATCTATTTACACGTGAGGGATAATGAAATGAAATGTTGTCAATTAGAACCTCAGGGGCACTAGCAAGCTTACTAGTGGTTGGTTTCTTCTTTGATGGAATTTTAGATACATCATCATCATCTGAAGTAGAATCAGTTTCAGTACTGGATTGGGCCTTCCTCTTCTTTGGAACCACCTTGCTCCATGCTTTAGCAGGCCCAACGGGGGTATTCTTGGCTACAGTCTTCTTTTTGGGGTTGCTTTGCATAGCTTGTTTCTTCCCTTTCCTCATCATGAGCCTTTTGGCTATACCAGGATTGCTCTTGATTATCAAATCATTATCAGAGTACTCCTTACGATCTATAGTGTCAGCCACATCATCATTCTGGTTACCTTGCATGTGAACATCCATATTCTCAGAACCTTGACCCCTGTTATTGCCCTCTTGTGAAGTGGCTTCCAATGTTTCAACATCGTGCTTGACACTGTCTTGATTACCTAAATTATGCGCAGGACTCTCAGAGTTAGGTGGAATGGCTATCCTTGGAACCTCATTTGGATCAATCAGAACCCTCGTTACCAAGTTGGCAATGACGGAGTGGATTTGCCTAGCTTCTTCCTCATTGATTGCCTAATCATGAGTTGAGGAGTGAGAAGCCTGAACTGTTACAAGTTCTTTAGGTCTTCTTGCATGTGAGGTTCGTGGTTTCTTCACCATCAATCCTTCTGGGGTTAGCATTCTCAGAGGAGCTATCTCAAGAACCTCTTTACGGTTAGCAGCGGAATCTGTGTCAGAGTTGGTTGGCATCTTCTTGGAAGGAATATCTGTTGGATATTGAGACATTCTTGGTGACTTTGATCGTGAGAGAGAGAGAATTCTCTGTGCTTGTTGAAGGATGAATGGAAGATGAACAGTTTGTGAGGGTCCCAAGGATAGAAGGGGTGTATCATATATGTAGTAGAGAGGTACGATTGCCCAATAGGAGGGAATTTACCTTTTTGATTGAACAGTAAATGATCAAATTTAAAAAAGTAATTCCCTATTACTTTTAATTTCTATAATCCATCATTAATAGAGGACCTCAACTTCCTTAGAGATTTTTCAACTTGAGTATCATTGAGGCCTCTTGTACCCTTGTGATCACTGTATGCTCCTGAGTCTCTCGGTTCCTCACATTCTTTCCCAAGGTGATGCCAGTTCGAATTTTTCATAGTTTTCTCTGGCTGACTAGGATATCAGTTCATGTTACTGAGATTGTCACAAGATGATGTTATGACATTCTGAGTGAC